ACATGATATTCCTGTTTATTTTAAACCGATAAACACATTGAGACAAAAACTAGTACACCCCAAAGACCGGGTTCCTAACACCCAAAAATGCAATCTGATTTATTCCATCCGTTGCCAAGAAAGTGAGTGCAAGGAACATTACATTGGAGAAACCAAACAAACACTCAAGAAAAGACTTTATCAACACAAATGGAAAAACAATGATAACAAAAGTGCAGTATACGCACACTTAAAAGAAACAAACCACACAATTGAAGATGAACAAGTAAAAATCATAGGAACAGAAAAGAGATGGTTTGAAAGGGGAGTAAAGGAAGCGATTTTTGTTAAAAAATTTTCACCCTCTCTGAACCGTGAAGGAGGTATCAGATTTAACCTGTCTCCTATTTACAATAACTTGTTGACCAGTAAGGGACATAGACATGCTGATCAGGCTAACTGAAAGTAGCTATTCAGCCTTAGCCCAAACAATAGGCCTAATCAAGACCCAATGATAGGGAATTTAGAAACCAATGGGCCTCTAATAAACCAAGAGGGGCGTGACTAACCATCCCCACCCAGTCCTCAAACAGGCCACGCTCAGCTTTTTAGCGCAGAGCAACTTCCCGGAGTCTTCACGGAGACTTCAGGGTTGTCTACCGCTGACGAAGCTTCTGTGAGAGAAGCGAAACGTCCTTTTTTGCTTTTTTTTTGTTTTTTTGTTTTTTACCCACAGGTACAGATGACGACTGACAGAACCCTTTCTACAATCAAAGAAGAAGGGAAAAAAAAGGCGAGGTAAGCCTCCAAAACTTTCCCAAGGATGTGCTGCAACAATGGCGCCATACATGCAAATAAAGTTTCTACCAATTATACTGAACTGGAAATTATTTTCGAAAACTTGATCTTATAATGCCCTGCGATTGGCTGGCAACCAGTTCAGGGTATCCCCCGCCTACTGCCCGAAGACAGCTGGGATAGGCTCCAGCACCCCCCGCGACCCTTGTGAGGATAAGCAGATCGAAAAATGAATGAATGAATGACCATACTGAACCGAGGAATGGTTACCACGACTCGGCCAGAAGCCATTGGGATGGGAATGGCTCATCAACCCACCATGTTCTCTGAAGGTGGCGACAGAGACGGGGCGATGGAGAATTCTAGCCCCGCTGAGAAACTAAGCCCAAGGTGAACTGGATAGTAACAACCAAATAGATCAGGGGTGGCCAACCCGTGGCTCACGAGCCGCATGCAGCTCTTTGGCTGGTTTAATGCAGCTCCCGGGCTTTCACACGACAATTGTCGAAAACGCCTCGGCAAGAGCGCTGCCATTCAAACAACGCGCTTAAAACACAGAACGTACTACGTCAGCCTATCAGCAATCCCGTTACTTGATTGACATAGAGGGCAACCAATCAGACTGAATCACCGCTCATGCGCAGACAAGGGCGCAAAGTGCTAAGTGCTAAGCTAGTCAGCGAATTACCTCTGTTTTTAAGGCAGAGGTGCCCAATACGTCGATCGCAATCGACCAAGAGCCAGCGGACTGGTCCCAAGTAGGAGGAGGAAATGGAGGGGAAAAAAAAAGATGTGTGCTTGTGTCTTTAGGTTTCATTTATGTTCGGCTGTTGGTCGTCGTGGCGTGCATACATATGTGCGCGAGTGCATGCTCGTGTGTGTGTGTATGTGTGTGTGTGTGGATCTTTGCAGTAACACAGTAAAAAATTTGGCTCTTAGGCTCTGACTGGTTAGTCACCCCTGAAATAGATCATTTTGAGCAGGCATGTCATGACTGTCAGGGATCTTTTCAAATGACATAACGTCACAGTGAGTAATAGCAGTGGCTCTACCTCGTTGTTGCTGTAGTGAAGGTCCATGGTCTGACCGAAAGCCACCTTTGCTTTTTCCCTCAAGTCGTCCAACTTGATGGGGCGAGAGAATTGCAAAATCCTACACAGAACAACAGGAGAGGTCAAGGTCAATGGGTGCACGTTCAAAAAGGAACATGAGTTACAAAGCCAGCCTTGTGCTTCACCTCTTCTCTCCTTTAAACTCGAACTTCACTCTGACGTCGTTCTGTTCCAAACACAAACATTGAGAGAAAGACAAATGTCAGAGAATTGAAATACTCAGCGGCGCAAAGTATCACAGTCTATGTAGTTTGCAATGCTGTGATCGACTCAAGCGGGCGACTACCCATGTTTTTTGACCGAGAACTTGACAAATATTTGCAGGTATGAGTGATTTATGGGAGTGATAACTGCTGCGTTATGTCCAGTTCGAACACAGTTTTGTCCATGTGAGCAATAATTAGACCAAGGTTTTCTCTTGTGTGTGTGTGTGTGTGTGTGTGTGTGTGTGTGTGTGTGTGTGTGTGTGTGTGTGTGTGTGTGTGAGGGTTATTTAAGTTTCGGTTTTT